GGGGGGGGGGGGGGGGGGGGGTGGACGGGGATTCGTACGAAAATGCTGCGGTTCTATTGACAAAGAAACACTGAAAAATAAAACAGGAAACTTTTCTTTGCGGTTTGGACATAACAACGCTATATGTCAACAAAAAAACAGAATAATAACAGTTTGAAAAATCAATTTGAAAAAATAATAGGAAGCGTGTAGATGAACACAATTTTCGCCACGATCGAAAATTTTCACTTTAGATCGAGCGAAATTAAGCTAAATGAAAAGGCACTTCAGTAAAATTATACGATAAGTGTATGAGAAAATTTTAACAATTTGCAGTTGTATGAAGTCAACATTTCATTGGAATTGTAAATTGAACTTAAAGCTTTGAAGGAAAAATCGCCCAAGATTTCCGTTTGTACAAATTCAACAAATTGACAGAAGAAACAGTAGTTATATTAATTTTTTTCGTTTGTGTAGTCGAGTTTGTTTACTTTTATATTGTGAACATATTAGTTCTTTCCTTACTTCATTCTGTCCTATAAAAAAAAGTTAAATTGCTTGAAACCATTGTAAAGCAAATTTCAAGCATTTTAGGTGTGAAAGAGCTTCTAGTTTAAACAAATAAAGATTTCAAATGTAGAGAATGAAACGTCCGTTACGTACTATGTAGCCATTAGAGAAGTAGAGAAGCTATTGAGCATCTTTTTATTTGCTTTTCATTAGAATTAGCTCAAAACCGACTTTTCTACAAGAAAACAACTAATAAATTTTGGATTCCAGTTATGATTCAAATTCAAATTCAAATCGTAAGAAAGAAAAAGAAGAGTATTTTAGTGAATAATTGTCGAACCTACGTAGTATGCTTTAACAGACAGCGAAACCGCCAGCCGAGTTCATATTACAAATTGCATAGTAGAAAAAAGAAGATATCGGCAATTAGTGCCTTAACTCAAACTACTTTTATTATTGCATTTATTGCTTTTTTCTATGACAAAAACGGCTATTTTTTCCTACGCATTTTAGGACCCCTGTCCACACGTAAAGACGGATCTTTTTAAATAAGTATTTCTAAAACTCCATTTTAAAGAAAAAAATATCGTTCACACGCAGCGTTTTCGATTAGTTTTCCACCCATCCACACGACATTTTTAAATAAGTATTTTTTTAAACCCCTTTTTTTAATAAAGAAAATAAAAATGGTTTACACGCAGCGTTTTCGATTTGTTTTCACCCGTCCACACGTATCTGTTTTTGAAAAGTTGCATATTGTTAAGGCCAATCTGCAGAGCAAATATTCCATTTTCAAAAACATTTGAGTATGAATGTACAGCAACTTTAATTGAAAATTTTTAGCTTGTAAATGAATTCCGCTTTAGGAAAACGAAAACAATTAGAAATTATATTGCATCTGCTAAAAGCTAATTCTACTATTAAAGGTTTTTGTATGAAATTTTACATTTCCTTTGTCGCGGAAGCCAAAAGAAGCGTGGTATTTTGGATTGAGTATTAGAAAAGTCTTAACTGTTTTGAACGCGGTTGGAACCCTTCTCACCATCAAATTTTATTGAACCCTGAAACAACCTCTGGGCTGATTTAAGTCAGGGCACAACTAAGATCCAACCCTGAAGCAATCTCTGGGCTGATGTAAGTCAGGGCATGGCTTACTCACAGATCGAACCCTGAAACAACCTCTGGGCTGATCTAAGTCAGGGCATGGCTTACTCACAGATCGAACCCTGAAACAACCTCTGTCCTGATCTTAGTCAGGGCATGGCTAACTCACAGATTGAACCCTGAAACCACCTCTGTCCTGATCTTAGTCAGGGCATGGCTAACTCACAGATTGAACCCTGAAACAACCTCTGGGCTGATCTTAGTTAGGGCATTGCTAACTCACAGATTGAACCCTGAAACAACCTCTGGGCTAATCTAAGTCAGGGCATGGCTAACTCACCTCTGTCCTGATCTTAGTCAGGTGAAGGCAACTTCCACTAGGTGTTGCGAAGGGAGGAAAACCGGAGGAGAACCCGGAGAAAAACCCCTCGAATCAAGGGAGAGACTTCACAAACTCTACTACCATGTGATGCTAAGTCCAGGGATCTACCGCCATATAACACCTCCCGTGTAGGGGTACTGTGGGGGATTAGGGTAGGAAAAATGGGTTTTTGCCAACAAACACACAGTTACTGTACTGTATGTTATAGGTATCAAAGCCTTTTGACGACAAGACGAAGTTTGGTGCTCATAGCACTTGGATGGGTTCATTCGATCTTCTGGGCCGCAGCACCGTTAGTAGGTTGGGGCGAAATCACCCTGGATCTAAAGACCAACACCTGTCGACCAAACTGGAATGCTAAGGGCTTTCCTTCAAAGATGTACGCCAATCTTTTAGCAGTGTTCACCTTTGCTCTTCCCTCCGCGATCATGGTTTATTGTTATTTTCGTATTTTTAAAGTTGCTCGACATCAAGTGAAGCTAATCAAGAGAAACTCTATTGGCTCCTCGCAAAATGGACCCCAAAACTCTAGGCCGACGGAGACGAGAGCCTTGAGGACTGTGTTAATGGTGTTAGGCGCTTTTGTTTTGGCCTGGCTACCGTATACTATCGTATCAACAGGCAAACTTTTCATGAAAACTGGATGGGATGTTGGGGCATCAACCGCTAACGCTGTCTTGACAACGACGCTAGTCAATGGTTGTTTTAACCCGATAATTTATGCAATGAGAGACAGACGATTCAAAAGTGGATTGCAGAAAATCATTTGTCCATTTGCGAGGACCAACTCACTGGACTTGAGTAGCTATGTATCTAGTGCGCAAGTCACGGCACATGTATTGAGGCAAAAAGAGTTAGGAGTGGAAAATGTTGTTCAGTCTTCTAGTCTTTAAGTTAACGCAGACGTTCTTAGTGTCTGTCACACAACGATTCCCATCGTGACAGACACTTAGAACGTCTGCATAGGAAGCTACGGTTTGCTCTATCTTCAAAAGCTAGGTAACCAGGTCTTACTTCGTGCAGATGATTCCTGGAGACTAATAAAGTATGTCAATAAGGTATATTGCGGTTATAAATTACGTTATCGCCGCCATATTGGAGGTATGTAACGAAAAACATTGGATAAGGATTCATCTGTTGGATAGCGTGTTATTGCCCGCGCTATCCACCCTTCGCGCTATCCACCCTTCGCGCTATTCACCCTTCGCGCTATCCACCCTTCGCGCTATCCACCCTTCGCGCTATCCACCCTTGGTAAAATCGGACCATGTAGAAAAGTGATTAATAATAAAAATTGCAGTTTCTTAATATTGATGCTTTATTCAACTGTGCAGAATTGAAAAATAAAAGTATAGCAACGTTGTGCCATTTATATGCTTAGCTTATAATTGGTTGCTAAATATAAAATTACACGCTTAATGAAATATGTTTTAAATTTCTAACTACGTACGTAATAATATTCATTATTAATATGAAAATAAAATTATGATTTATCTTATAACTACAAATAACGCCCTCAGTTTTCGGCTTCTTTGTCACGTGATTCTTTTTTTTTTTTGGATTTGTAAAATGACGCTGTGTTTTTTTGATTACAGATTCGTTTACTCAGGGTTAGCCTTATTTTCAGTGTCAGAATATTCACAAATACTAATGGTAAAGTAAAGAATGCACAACGTCAACATTACAATTAAATACTTCGAAATTCTACGGACTTTCATTGGAATACATGAATATTCTAGTTGTACACAAAATCAAGGCTAACCCTGAGCAACAGAGAGTAGTCCCTTTCACAGTTCCCTGCGCCATCTTGAAAGGTAGCCGTGCCTTTGCATCGAAGCGAGACGAACGGTGAGCTTGCAATGATAGAGACCTTTTTTAACACCTTGAACGATTATTCACACGTCTCTATGATCGAAAGCTCATCGTTCGTCTCGCTTCAATGCAAAGGCACGGCTATCTTTCGAGATGGCGCCTGGAACTGTGAAGGGGACTATTAGAAACTGCAGTAATACGACGTTTGCATGATGGCATCATTTGACTACCACTACCAAGATGCTTCGCAAAATTTCTTTCTTATTTAAAATTGTATTCCCTCATGAAAATAGCAAGACAATTGGTGCTAATTAACTGAACAAAAGAAAGTGTACAAAGGAGTCTGGTAGTTGAGGTCAATGACGACATCGTGCAAACGTCCTATTCACCAATTTCCATACATCGTTTCAATACTGAAATACAAAGCATTCAATCGAAGCTAGGAGGTAGTTTCAAAGGGTTATTCAAATCTTAACCTTGCAGCCTTGGTTAAATGATTTGTGTTTAGCCAGTGAACCAATGCCTGGAAAATGGCGACTTATAACCCGTATATATAATGTATTTCTTAATTACAATATATTACAATGCAAAGCTGCTATTAAAACATGCGATCTCTCTCAACAAGATAAAACTTTTTTTGTTTTGAAAATATATTTGTAAAAAGTGTGAATATAAAATGGAGTCAAGGTTTCTTTAAATATCTTGCACTTCTTGAGGTGTCCTATCGTAAATACGTCACGTGGACGTCACGTGATTATCATGTACCAACCTTTTTTTTAATTCAACCAACGTTACATATCACGTGATTAATGAAAAGCTTCCATTCTTTCGTGACATTCTTAGCTACTTCGAAAGGTTCTCATTGATGTCACGTGACTTGTATCCATACTAGTACTAGTCTCCCATCATCTTCATTTTTTCAAAATGTTTTTTCATAGCATGTCACGTGACTGCTGGCACGCACTGTTCAATCTTATCAATGGTTCTCCATGTCACGTGACAATTAAGAGTAGCCCAGTCTCCTATCGAGTTCTTTATCCACAGCTTCCCATAGGTTTCCTATTGGTTGATCCTCGTCCTCAGCCCAAGCAGCCACCATGCGCCGCTTTTTTGGCCCTTTTTCACTCGGTGCCTTATCGGACTCTTTATCAATAGGATTCTCTGTTGTGACATTCACATATGGGTCCTCATAAGAAATTGTACCATTATTTGTAGGCTGCATGCCATCACCATCAGCATTTGGGACCTCAGGGTCATTGGGAGGTGGATCACTAGGGGGAGGTGGAAAATTGAATTCAGACACATTGGTCCACGTTCGCTCCAAAGGTGGAAGGTCCTCCTCTGGATATGGGACCTCAGATATGTCTTCTTCATCTATATTATCGCCATGGTCAAATTCAATAGTGGGATAGTGCTCAAGCGAGCCATCAACACTCGTTTTCCTGTTCTTCTTTTTCATCGACAAATCGACCTGCGCATACACAGGGATTCCAACTTCAGGCTTATCTAGGTTATTATTGACAGGGGCTCTCTCATGAACATCGATAGTGTCCCTTCCGCTCGCATCCACTCTTTCATTGGTCTTTTCATTATTTACTGCCAGATCTGGACCCCTAGTGTCATTATTGTTCCCTTCTGTATCCGAAGGGCCATTTCTTGGTAGGTTAGTATAGACAGCCTCAGACGAGTCTTCTCGATGGCCCATATTAACATCGGGCTGCGAAGAGGCCAAATACTGTATGGCCCTCTCGTTACTGTACGAGGTAGAGATAGGAATAACGTTCCCATCATCGGAGAACATGTCTATGTCTAGATTATGGTCCAGCTCATAGTTGTATGCCACGTTATAGTTTCCCTCCACTGTCCCGTCGCTTTCAACGGAGCTAAATGACGAAAATCAGTTACAAAAATAAACACGTGGTTTGAAGGGTTTCACTTCTATAACTTAAGGAGGCTCGAAACGGTATTCATCGAACGTTCGTGCACTCTAGGCACGATGTTGGCATTGACAAACTAATGATGAGTAGAAACTGGTAGTTTCAGTAGTTTTTTTTTTTTATATTGTTACCAAATTTGCAAAAAGAATGCAACTTTTTAAAACAAATGTGTTAAATTCTTACGATTTACCTCTTCCAGATTTATGTAAGATTACGAGCAAAGTTTAAATATCTATAGTTGTCTCGATCTTTAGGTTACAGAGACAAAACAAATCAAAAGAAAACAAACCGGATTTGGGAAAATTTAGTAAAATGTAAAGTAAAGTTATTCGCACCACATCTAGCCCAAGCGAATGCCACGTTTGTTGTTCAATATAGCAAACACCTACCTTGGAGCAAAATCAGAATGCGTACCCCCACGTCTCGTCGACACACGAAATGTTTGATCTGAGGAAAACAAATTGTGAAGTATAAGGAAGAGAGTCTGTCTGTCTGTCTGTCAGTCAATCTGTCAGTAATATGCCGCTTTAACTTGGCCGTATTTATTTCCCATTTGTGACCATATCTCGAGAATAGAATACTGTCTGTCTGTGTCTGTCAGTCAGACAGACAGACAGACATATGAAGACAGACGGACATATGAGGACAGACAGACACAGACAGACAGACAGACAGTATCCTATTTTCAAGATATGGTCACAAGTGGGAAATAAATACCGCCAAGGTTTAATGCCGGGCCCGTAAATCCTTGGTCATAAATTACTTGGTCTAATACCACAGGTAACCCATAACTTACTTGATTGTTGAGACCGACTCCTCAAACACCAGATAATACCAATTACAATGAGCAGGAGCAGAAGACCGCTGACCAAACCACCGACGGCTACCTCCCAATTTGTTCCTTTGTCTTCTTGATTTTGCCCAGCCATAAACGCATCTGAATAGAAAAACAAACAAAAAATAAGTATCAAAAAAAGAAAAAAAAAAAAATGACGGCACCATCGTCCCTTTAATACTTCCATTTCAAGTTCCCCTTTGCTCAGTCTTAGCCTCGTTGTATACAAATGCGTTCTTTTCTTTTATCGAGGTCCATTGTATAGTAAGGAATGTACGCACTACGGAACAATACGAGTTGATTAAAATGCCACGGGTTTTGGTTGAATAGCTGAATGTTATAACGCACAACCGAGACTAAGGCTGAGCAAAGAGAGCTCGAAACTCGAGTATTAGATGAGCAACTGGTCGATAATGATGACTGGCCGGTCCATCCGACCATCCGACCAGCCTATGTGTATGCATGCCTCACAAAATGTTGTGTTTGTGCGTCTCTCTCTCCGTTAGGTAAAACGGTCCGACCAACAATCCGTCCGTCCAATTGTTTGCCCTTCTTCCGTCTGTCTGCATAGTCTGTCTGGCTATTTGCTCGTTTGTCTGATTTTGCCTTTCTTTGTTTGTCTGTCTGTCTTTGTTTGTTTGTTTGCCCGTCTGTCTGTCCGTCTGTCTGCCTGTCTGTCTATCTGTCTGTCTATCTGTCTGTCTATCTGCCTGTCTGTCTGTCTGTCCGTCTGTCTGTCGCTCCGTCTGTCTGTCTATATGTCTGTCTGTCTATCTTTTACATTAGTTATTTGTTTACCAATTGTTACCTATTGAAGTGCGCACATCATAATATTTCGAAAAAGGGCCTTCCCCAACATTACTGTACATCTGGACCTTCACTTGGTACTCCGTATTCTCTTCTAGGTTCATAATTAGATAGGTGGTCGCAGAACCATCAGGAATATTGACCTTCATATGAGTCATCCCTGGCCTATTTTGTCTGTACCAAATATTGTACCCACTGACCGAATAAGGAGGTTTCTGAAACATTGAATAAGTCAGTAGCAAATTTAGTTAATACTAGTATCTTCCACAGGCGGGCCACCTGTGGTTTTCGCCTGGTATCCATCCAAAACCGCAATGTATCATGGGAAACGTGAAAAGGGCGAAATTGGCGACGCACTGTCCTTGCATTTGTTATCAACTAACCGACAACGAGCTTGTATCATTGCCTACCTTCCATTTTACCAGTATTCGATTCGGGCCGCTTGCCTCCACAATGAGTCCTATGGGGGGTGATGTAGGTACTAGAAAAATGTGAAAGAAAAAAACCTAGCGTTAGCAATCCCAAGAATTTCTTCTCAAATGGTTTTTGAATTCTTTTTCTTACTCAAATGTTTTAACTAAAAGGAACTACAAAACTGACTCTGGTAGTATTGATATAAAGGCGAAATATGGGACTTGAAAAAATCACGCGCTCTGCAAAATAATATCCCTTCAAATGCCTTTAGACCCCGTGTCATTCCCTAGAGAGTCATTTCTTTGTTTAACGGTTGCGCACGAGAAGACACATGAATATAGATACAACTCAAACAAAGAATCTAGTCCTCAAGATAATGACACCTGGTCTGAAATGAGAAAACAATACGACCAAGGTAAAAAAAGCTATTACTTATCGACTCGAACGATTTGAAAACGTTCGATAGACTTATAAGAAAGAGCTCAGTTCTGAATATGAGAATTGGCGAAAGTAATTTCATCAATAACTACCTAATTGCAATGTCCTGGCTGACGCGCTAGCTCCGTTACTTTGAAGTTTGGTTCCATCACTCCTTCGTCTCCAAGCAACGACTTGTACGGTGTACCTCAGGTCCGGTTCTAGGTCCACCAGAATATAATGCTGTGTCCCGACATTTGGATCATGTGTGACGTCATACTTGTTAGTAGAGTTAGGTGACTTTGGTTCATAAATCACGTGATACTGTAAGTCATCTAAAGGTCCATTCAGGACTCGAGGGACAGACCACGTGACGTTGATGGCATAAGCGCTTTGAACTATGAGGCCGAGATCACGTGGAGCCGAAGGTTCTAAAAAACGAAATATTGCTTTAGTTTATCCAAACATTTTCTCTCCGCTTCATCTATTACTGTGCTAAACTCATGTATTTTCGCTCTTTTGTCGATTCTAAGTAGTAGCCTGCCTGGCGGCTCTGAGGGAGGGGGATTGGGGACGAGGGCGGAGGAGGGAGGGGGAGGGGAGGGGGATTGAGGAGGAGGGGCAGGCGAAAACTACGACTTATGGAATCAGTCTAATATTTTCGTGTGCCCATGATGTGTGAATAAAATTGATAAAAAATTTGATTTTATCTTACTGTACGACAAAGTCGTGACGTTCTCCGACGTCCGCCATATTTTACTCGTCCCCAGGCCATTCGCAGCTTTCACACGAAACTTGTACATCGTAAAAGGAAGCAGCTGAGTAACGTCATAAAATGATTCCTCTATACTACTGTTGAATGACTGCCATGTAGAAGATATTGTTGACCACACTTCAAGGAGGTAGTGTTTGATGAGAATTTCAGGAGGATTGGGGCGGACCCACGTGGCACGAAGCGAATGTGACGTCACTTCAGTTATTGATAAAGAAGATAGAGGTTCTGGAACTAAGAATGAAATAACAAAAATTTAGGAGTTCTCTTTATGACATTTCTATTTTCATGCTTGCTTGATTTTTTTTTCTTTCTTTCCTTCCTTCCTTCCTTCCTTCCTTTTATCCATCCATCACACCGCTTCCTTTTTTTTGTTTTTCTCTTCCCTTTTCTTTACTCCCTCCCCTCCCCTCCCCTCTCCTTACTTCTTTTCTTTTTTCTTCCCTTCTCTTTCTTTCTTTCCGCTTCGATTTCTGTATTAACCTTATACGAGGACAGTGGCATCAGCATGTTTCAATATCGTTATTAATTAACATGACCAATAACAAGATATCAAGGCCATACTTCTTATAATTGAGCTAACCATAGTGGTTTTTTTTTTAATCATACACTTTTTAACGCATTTTTCGTACCTTTAGCAAAGTAGACAACAGAACCTTGTGGATTACTTGCGTTACACAAAAATGTCTTATTCTCCAAAGAGCCAATAGGAACAACCAGCTTGTTGTCACGCGTCACGGCATAGTTATTTAGAGGTAGGCGCTTTTTCTCCAAGTACCACTTGACGGTGGGGGTCGGCGTTCCTTCCACTTTGCAAGTCACTGTTGTCTCGGAGTTTTGTTCTTGTTTTAACAGATTTACGATCACAGGTTTTGCTGAAGGAAAATAGAATAATGAGCATGATCTCGAGTACAATTCGAAAATTATAGGTACAAGTGATGTATTGAAAGTTTTCAAAATAGACCTCTTCGGCTCTGACGTAATGTTTTCCCATTTCAAACCACGTCATTCCCTAGAGTATCATTTCTTTGTTTAAGGTTTGCGCTCGGTTGCACATGAGAAGACACATGAATATGGATACAACTCAAACCAAGAATCTTATTCTTAAGGGAATGACACGTGGTCTGAAATGGGAAAACATTACGCCCAAGCCGAAGAGGTCTACCGCTTGCTATGTAGGCACTCCCGTTTCTAAAGTGACCAATACAAACTTACTCTGTATCTCCAGTATGATCTTGACTTCAAGAGTATAGCCATACGGATTAGATGCTTTACAAGTATATTCACCCGTATCACCGGGCTGCACATTACGTATGGTCTGCTCATATCCAGTCCCTTCCATTATATCTCTGTTTGGCCGTCGCCACGTGATTTGTGCTTTGGGACTGGAGTCGGGTTCGCATTTGAGCACAGCGTCCTGGCCTTGTAGGACGCCGACGTCTGTTGGGGGGACTGGGAAGGCGGGACCATCTAAAAAAAATATTCAAAGAAATTTTAAAAAAAGGACCGTTTTTTAAATAGATTTTATCGTTAGCCTACTATGTTTATCTTTACAAAAATCTAATAAGCTTTAGCTGCTGTATCACAGCGTAGGAAAACCACAACAGAGCTAGGCTCCAAACTAAGTGAAAGCCCAGAGATCGAATTAGAACTTAGAAGTTGATTTTTAAGGAGGAAGGAAAACCGGAGAACCTGGAGAAAAACCCTCGAAGCACAGGAGAGAACCAACGAACAACTCTACTCACATACGACACAGAGACCGGCAGGACTCGAGCCCGTGCCGAATAGACCCTTTTCGAGTTCCAAATTACCGCTGTGTTTCTTCATTACAGACTCATTTGCTCAGGCTAAGCCTCGTATCAGTGTCTAATTACTCGCAAATACCAACGGTAAAGTAAAGAATGCACAACTTCAACAATGCGAACACTTTGAAACTTGACGGACCTTGACTGGAACACGTGAATATTCTGCACAAAATCGAGGCTAAGCCTGAGTAATGAGTCTGTAATCAAGAAACACAGTGGTAATTTGGAACTCCAAAAGGGTCTATTGGTGAGAGGCGACGCATTAGCAGCGCACGTCGACAAGTGCTTTCCTTCCTTTATGCCACCAACAACATGGCTGCTTTGTCTTTGTCATTTGTCTCTCTTGCATGAAAAGTTTGCAAACTATCAATACAATTGTCAAGATTTTTTTCAGTTTACTTACATAAAACATTCAACATAACGTTGGGAGTAGTATTACAGCCAGCGGCATTACAAGCACGACATGCGTACATCGATCTATCGGCTCTTTGGACAGAACTAAAACTTAGATCTCCGCTGGGCAGAGTGACAGCAGACGTGACTTGCTGAAGTGTGCCACCATTGGCTACCTTGTACCACATGATACTCGGAGTATCCTGGGCAACTGCTCTACATCGAAGGGTAACGCTTGTCCCGACACTTACGGTTGTGTTGCTAGGGGACTCTGTGAATTTTGGCGGGTCTGGCAATTTAAGAAAAGTTATTGGACTGTTAAAAGTAGATAAAAAGAGGAAAAGGAAATAAAGAATGGTGGAATGAAAAAGAGGAAAGGATAACGAAAGGGAGCAAGTGAAGAAGGAAGGAAGGAGAGATGGAAGAAGAAGGAATGGAAGAAAGGAAGGTAGGAAGGAAGGAAGGGTGGATGCATAGATTAATGGATGGATGGATGGATGGATGGATGGA